ACAGTCAAAGGGTCTATGCGGGGTAGTTGGTCAGCTTCCCTTTCGCTGAAGACGTCACGGAGATCTGCATATTGTCGTGGTACCTTCACGTTCTCTGTTACTTCAGTCCCTGCTAGGGCGGCTTGGACCCCTGCCAAACCCTTTCCCTCTTTGCAGTGTTCTAAGCAATGTGCTGAACCAAAAGAAACCACTCTCTGATGCCAGCCCACCAGCGGATCATGTAACGCTAGCCAGCTCATCCCCAATATAATGGGAGCTCCTCCCAAGGTGGCCACATTAAAAGCTATCAGTTCGGTGTGCCTTGCTACCTTCATTATCATTGGGACGGTCTGCAAGCTGACTTCTCCACCCAACAGCTCCCTGCCATCGATCGTGGTAACCTGCAGGGGGCTGCTTAAGGGATTGTCTGTATCTGGTGTTCAGCTGCAAACTCTTTGCTCATGAAATTGCAGGAGCTGCCTGAGTCCAACAGCGCCTTTATCTTTAGAGGGTGTCCGTTTGGCAGCTCTAGCGTCACTTCTATCACTAGGGCGGGTTTAGGAGGTTCTGGCGTGGGCACTCTCACTGCTCTTTGGCCTGGCTGCTGTGCCCTGACAGTGGCAGCCAGGCGTTGGCTTTTACTTGCTCCGGTATTTTTCCTCTCTTCCATCCACCGCTCCTACCATCCCTTGCCATTCTTTCCTCTGGGGGCAGACTCTGGCAAAGTGACCTGGCTGTTGGCAGAGATAGCATTTCCGGGCGCCTTTTCCCTCCTTCTTTGCCCCCTCACTGGGCTTTGAAACTGCGCGCGCGCGCTGTTCCGATTTCCATCGGCTCTGCCGGTGGGAAAGTTGGCTCTGGAATGTCTGGAATGCGGAACTCCTTCCAACGTTCCCCTTCCCTTCCCGCCTCTCCAATGCTCTCGCCTCCTGGCGCGCTCCTATGGCCAGCGCTGATTTGGTCAGCTGGTCCATAGACTCCGCCCTGGGCGCCCGGGAAAGTTCGTCTTTCACAGCCGAAGAAAGCCCTTCTTCAAAGAGCATTTGAATGGGTTCCGCCGATAAGTCCCACCCCAATCTGTGAACAAGCATGGTGAACTCAGTCCAGTACTCACGGACAGATCGGCTCCCCTGTTTGCAACCCATTAACTGTCTGCGCACCACTCCCTTTTCAATATCGCTGGAAAACATCAGATCCATGGCGCGAAAGAACTTCATCGTGTCCTTTAAGACGTCACTATTCGCTGCCATCAGGGGTCTAACCCAGTCTCTCGCCCCCTTTTCAAGATGCTCAATCACGAAAGCCACTCGTGATTCCTCGTCAGGGAATTCATCAAACTGCAGATTGAGGGCATATTGCATTTCTGTCCGAAAACCATGATAGTTTTGGGCTCCCCCAAACTTCTGAAACAATCCTGGAACCTTTATGGCTAACTGGGTGGCTTTCCCCCTTTTGTCTGCATCCTGAGCCCTCCTCTCCTCAAGCCTCGCAGTCTGCATCGCTAGCTGGACCTCCAACATCTGGTACCTTTCTTCCAGGCTTGGACCCGCTCCAGCTCCTGCTTCTCCGGTTCCTGCTGGGTTGCTCATGATGCCTTCTCCTGCACAAGCTGCTTTCAAAGACTGTCGGAATGCTGTGATGGGATGATGAGCTGCTTGTGCGTAAAATGATATCCCCTCAGAGTTTGTTCAAGTCCACAAACCTCTGTCTGTGACGGAGCCCCTCAGACATGGCTGCTCTAGTCACTAGCAGATTCCGACAGTGGTTGCTTTTGTAATCGCTTCCAACATAAAAGCTCCTTAACGGAAACACGTCTTCTGGAATCTCTGCGTGACAGTTTCCGGCGAGGAGTGGGTGTTCTTACAGGAGGTTCTGAAACCTCCCCACTGTTTTCGCTGGAAGTGTCTCTGAGCCATCCCTCCAGCTCAGCTCCTCTCCCCCTGCTGGTTCCTTCCTCAGCTGCTGCGTCTCTCCCAACCTGTGTGAGCCCTTTCACCTCCCTGTTGGTTCCCTCTTCAGCTGCTGCGTCTCTCCCAACCTGTGTGAGCCCTTTCACCTCCCTTCCGTCCGATGGCAGTTCCCTGACAATATATATATATATATATATAAACAAACAATGAAACATCAGACATTAAAAACTTCCAAATACAGGGCTGCCTTCAGATGTCTACAGAAAGATGCATAATTGCTTCTCTCTTTCTCATCTGATGAGAGGGTATAGTGGGGGAATCCACTATACCAAACCTTGGAGAGCTGCTGCTAGTCAGTGTATGCAATACTGAGCTAACTATGAACCAATGGTCTGACTTGGGGTAAGGCAGCACTCTGTGTTCCTCTGGAGCAGTTGGGTTTTCACCCTATGAAGCCCAGCTCTCCTCATCGCCTCCTTGATTTGTAAATTGCTCTGTAACGTCTATTTGGCTTTCACGAAGACTACAATAAGAACTAGCAGTGATGCATTTTCAGAGTTGTGAACGGCATGTTGCGTGTCTTTGGGGAACTCCTCTATACCTGCCCATCTATGCTGATTTAGTATCACTCTTCTAATAAAGAGGAGCAGAAGGTCACGCTGGAGCCTGTTGGGCCGCTAACATACCCTCCAGGGAGTTAAAAGGGCTCAGCTGACGCTTGAAATTGGTTACAGATTGTCCCAATAGGCCTTTTCCTTTATTTGAATGGTAATGACAGGATAGCATGCTTTGAAAAGAGACTTGCTTCCGATACATGGAAAACCACTGACCTCCCTTGTCATTTAAAAAAATTTTTTTTTACCAAACACACAAGTACTTGGCCGACATGAAGACATCAGGCAGCACTTTCTGCGGGCTCCAATTGAAATATTGGAAACACCACATTTTAGAAGCAATTTTAGCTACATTGCAAATACATCACGAAACAGATTTCTATCAGATGCCTTCCAGATCCGCAACTGAGGCTGACCCTCAGTTTCCTCCAGGGGACCGTAAAATTCTGCATGTGCATGGTAGCCAAAAGCATTGCAAGAGGTTCTTATATGGGCTGACTTAATAGTCTGAAGGTGCTTCCAGGCCATTGCAATTTCCGGGTGGAACTCAATCACACATTGGCAAATTCAGGTTGCTCAGTTATAGTTGGTTGGAAGGTCTTGCCCAGCAAGCCTACCTTCCCCAAAGATCTGACTTTTTGTGATGAGGAAAGTGATGGGAAAATGTATCGGGAAGTGTGGTGCAACAGCATCCATCCTCCCTGTTAACAAATCAGAATGAATGCTAAGTATGTCATCTGATCTCCCTGCAAACAAAGCAAGGTGGATGCTCAGTAAACAAATAGGATGGTATATATCTAGCACAATTGGCATCTCCACATGTCCCACTAAATCTATTCTGGGTTGTACCCCCAAATTTGGAGGTACAGATTTGGAGAGGGCATGGGGGTGGGGAGAGGAGAGGAGAGGAGAGGAGAGGAGAGGGAAGGAAACTCCATTCCACAAGCAGACATCTTTGAGCTAGCAGATCTCTTTAATTGGATGCTGACCAGTGTCTGAAAGCATTCTGAGCTACAGATCAGGTACCTCCCCAGTAGCCTTTCCTGTGAACTTGGATAGGCCATTGTCTCACCTTTGGCCCCATGCTTTCTAAGGCACAGGTCCGCTTCAGTTCAGTGGTAAAGAGCAGGTATTTTTCAGGGAAAGCACCAGGCCAAAGGAAAAAGAGAGAATAAGTGCTTGGGTATGGCATGGACCTGTGACTAGAAACGCAACACAAAAGGAAGTCTGGATGAGCCTTCAGCTTCACTCCTGCCTCCTCAGCATTATTTATTTGGAATATTTATAAATGGCTAAATATTTACAAAAGGCCATAACGGTACACAACATGGCCTCATTCTTAGTGAAGCGATGCAGGATATATGACAAAAGGTGAGTACAGACCAATAGCTAGAAATGTGATAAGGGGGCTTAACAGGCTGGGGAATAATTGCCCTACTACTACAGACTACAAACTAAACAACTCTGTATGTGATTTGCAAAAATTCATTAACCCACGACATTTCAACACCACCTAATACATGGAATCTTAAATCTTATACGATGCCAAAACAATAATGACAAATGCAACTCAAAATCTCAAAGCCAAACAGTCCAAATATTCCTGAAATATGTCCATTAGAACGACTCTCTATATACTTGTGCTGATGCAATCCCAAAGGAACTCTGACAACGTCAGTTTGTGATTGTGTTTTATTTTCTAAAAGCTCCTCAAGGAAATTTATTGCTTTAGTGCAAGTGGTTCCTAATATGCTGCTGATTTGATCCCGGAATGTCCCTATTTTCCCCATTATTACTGCCACTGAGCTTGAGGAGGAGGAGGTGCCAGAGCCTCTCTTGAGCGGTGGTGGCGGCAGCCGTGAGGAAACGCCTCCTTGCCTCCTCCCTTGGGCTGCTTGTAGCAGATGCTGGAGAGCAGGCAAAGAGGGGGAGAGGCCGTGGCTGTCAAGGTCCAGCCCCATGTGGTGTGTCAGCTCTGAAGGGCAGGCAGAGAGCAGGGCCACCCTGCGCGGGAAGAAAGGGAGAGCCAAGCAGAGATTGAGGAGCCTTGATTTTTATTTTACCAAAAATAAAATTAAAAAATGTGTTGCACTTCCACGTCTAATCTTGCTTGCCCCTTTCTGAAATTTATTTATTGGTGTGCGTTTCTCTTTTTGTAAATCTACCAAAGAATAAAATCAAATCAGGATTAAGGTGTTTTCTCAGGACGGTGGAGGGTGTGTGTGCTGTGTCACATTGGTGAAGCTGTGGTGGCACTCGCCCTTCTTCTGATAGGAAATGCTCTGAGGGGGCAGGGACCCAAAAAATGGAGGGAGGGTTTGAGGAGGGTCAGGGGAGGGGAGTGAGAAATATCCCTACTTTCATCTGAGGAATGTTGGAGGGTATGGTTAAGTTAGGTCAACAGATTGAGCAGGCGCACAGAACGCCAGTTCTGTCTTCCCCAATATGTCAATACAAATTGTATCTTTTTTTCTACAGTTGAATCTACATACCTAAAGCTCCACCTTGGCTCAGTCAGTAGAGCATGAGACTCTTAATCTCAAGGTCATGGGTTTGAGCCCCACATTGGGCAAAAGATTCCTGCATTGCAAGGGGTTGGACCAGATGACCCTCATGGTCCCTTCCAACTCTACAATTGTTGGATTCTATGATACACAAATTTTGTGCAAAACTCTGTCCTCTTATTTTTGTCATGTGCATCCTCATTTGGGGTGGGATGTCTGCTTGAGAACTGCCACAGTCCTGGAGAGAGACTGCCCCTTTCCTTCCCAGGCCAGACTACTGGTCGCCACCAGTGCTGTAAGTCTCCTGAGCTAGAAAACCTATTCCCAAGAATTTAATTAGTTTTCGTTTATTTTATTTAAACCATATCTTGGCTTTTGGAGTAAAAGTTCCAGGGCAGCTGACGACAAAAGATGGAAATCATCCAAACAAAACATGACACCAGTGCTACCATAAAACAGCAATAAAAGCAGAGACAGCAAAGATAAGCATCAAAGCAGAAAGATCCAAAAAGTAATAAAAGCAGGGGAAAGGGGAAGAGAGAAAGCATCATTAAGAATAGAGAAGTTGTAGCAGCACATCAGGTCTCTGATTCAAAGTTTGGCATGCTGCTGTTGCTGCTCATCGTCATCATAAGAAATGTGGCCAGCCCACTTTATCCTCACAACAGCCTTGTCAGCTAGGTTAGACTGAGTGAGAGCAATTAGCCCCGATACAGAGTATTATGGGTTTTGAAGTTGGATCTCCTGGCTCCCAGCCTGACACTTGAACCCAGGACAGGGAACCCTTTCCAACCCAAGGACTGCATTCCATTTGGGGCAACCCTCTGAGGGCACCACGCCAGAGGTTCGGTGGGGCCTGAGACAAAAAGTGGGTGGAGCAACAAATATGAATTTTTACCTTCGTGAAAATTCTGCACACCCCTCTCTAGTCTCCATTTGGGCAAGCAGGAAGCATGGTCAAAGTTCAACAGTTCATTCCAGCCAGGCAGAAACACCCAAGCAGGGTTGGTGAATAAGACCTTGGGACTTTGCTAGAGAAAGTGTGGCCTGGGAGAATCCAAAGGGCCAGAAAGACAGGCAGGCTGCATGTCGTCCCCTGGCCTGACGTCCTCCACCCCAGTTTTAACTCTCTTGCCTCTCCTCCCCATACTTGATGTGACAATGTCTGTCATTGTGGGAAGGCAGGCTACAAAACTAGTCTTCATTTTCCTTTAGGGGAAGACACGTTGTTTGTTGTTGCCGCTGTTGTTTAATTCCCCTTCCCAGCAGGTTCAGGTGCCTAACTGCGAATTTAGATTTTGTCCGGTGTACAAACTTGGTTTCCATCAAGATGGTCATGGTAGCATTTGACTCATGGCATGTGTATATTATTCTCTCCCCAGCCCCTTGTGTTTCAGTCTTTGCAACTATAATAAAGTGCCCGCCGTGTGGTTTGAAGCTCACGGCAAGCACAGACCTTTCCATCAGGAGTGCTGTAAATTAGTTCCAGTCTGCAGGAGAACACTGGAACTAATTGATGTGACCTGGAAGTTGGCAAAAAAAGAAAGAAACGAAGAAGAAGAATAAAGAAGTCCATAGCAGTGAAATCAACCTTTCCCTTCAATAACTTGATGCATATATAATCTTTTCAGGTTGTAAATAGATGAGGCCTCCTGCTCTGTCCCAAGATTAAGGACCTGGCTTCCCTTGTCGAAGTGATAATGGCTTTCAGTTTTTCAGTTGATTTGTACAGCAGGTGCCTTTAAAATAAAATAATAAACACCAGGAGGTGGGGTGGGTGCAGGGAAGGTGGGGTGGGGAGGACAGGGAAAGGAGGAGACGCTAAAGAAAGCAAAAGCAAATGTCAGGCGCACATACCCGCTTCCTATATCAGTCTCTGATTATCCAGTTACATTTCCCTCTGGATCTTTTTACTTATCAGATGTAAGTCCCATCAGTTAAAAGAAGGCTGAAGAATGTGCAAAGGTGAACACATAACCATAAATCTAAATTGGAGAGCGGGAGTTTAAAACCACACACGATTGAATACTAATTTCACTTTGCATTCCTTATTGACAGCTTTTCGTTTTTACCGTAACTTGGGGGTGTAATTTATTTATTCAAAATATCAGATAGGATTTGCATCTGAATTTCTTCCATTCATAGTCTCAGTGGTATCACGTTTGCTGCACACAGAAGACCCCAGGTTCAATGCCTGGCATCTCTGGGTATGGCTGGAGAAGTTGTCATTTTTAAATCCTGGAGAGCTGCTTCCAGTCACTGGAGACAGTTTTGAGCTAGGTGAGCCAGTGGTCTGACTTGAAATAAATCAGCTTCCTGTGTTCTGATTTAAACTAGCCTGTTGTTCAGAATCACAGAATTGTAGAGTTGGGTCTGCGTGGGTTGTCTAGTCCAGAGGTTTTCTACCTTTTTGAGTCCATGGCTCCCTTGACCAACGACATTATTTCTGTGGCACTCCTGTGGGGCTCAGGGGCCCAGTAATGTCACCCCTTGTCTGCAGAGCTAGCAGCCTCTCACCCTTTTTCGAACACACTCCCTTATGGAGTCTCCCCTTGGCCTCCTCTCTTTCCCCCTCTCCTTGGGAGTCCTCTGAGCAGCCGCAGCTGCCACCCCTAGTCTTTGAGCTGCTCCCCCTTCCCCAAAGAGAAGTGCCTCCTGACACTGCCCCACCGGGACCTGGGAAGCACCCCCTGGCCAGCCCCACAGCCAAGGTTTTGGGAGGCAGAGATACAAGAGGGCATCAGAGGACGGAGGGAAGGAAAGAGGAACAGAGGCCAGTGTTGCCTGTGGCACCCCTGACCATCATTCAAGGCACCTCAGGGTGCTATAGCACACTGGTTGAAAACCGCTGGTCTAGTCCAACCCCTGCAATGCAGGATCCTTTTGCCCAAGGTTGAGCGCGAACTCCTGACACTGAGATTAAGACTCTCATGCTCTATCATGAGGGGTAGACACTTGGGGCTCGTCCACACTTCCACCTGCCCCCACTACTTCTCGCCCAGGAAAACCCGCTGTTTGGGAACCCATGGAAGTGTTGAATTTGGCATGGGGGCATTTTTTATTTTATTTTGCAAACAACTTTGCCAAAAAAAGCTCAGCAGCTTTTGTGTCCAGATTTTCACTTTTTGAAATATAAGGGTAACTGGACCATGAGGTCCAGTCATGGCCGACTCTGGGGTTGCGGTGCTCATCTCACTTTACTGGCCGAGGGAGCCAGCTTACAGCTTCCGGGTCATGTGGCCAGCATGACTAAGCCGCTTCTGGCGAACCAGAGCAGCGCACAGAAACACCGTTTACCTTCCCGCCGGAGTGGTACCTATTTATCTACTTGCACTTTGACGTGCTTTCAAACTGCTAGGTTGGCAGGAGCAGGGACTGAGCAACAGGAGCTCACCCCATTGCGGGGATTCGAACCGCCGACCTTCTGATCGGCAAGTCCTAGGCTCTGTGGTTTAACCCACAGCACCACCCGCATATCCCCCAAACTTACATATAGTTACCCAGTTAAATGACCTGGTTGAAAAATAAAACCATCATGGGCACCACCATTCCATGTAATTTTGAAGCTTGGATAGCCTTCCAGTTGCTGCTGGACCACAGCTCCCATCATCCCTGATCAGTGTACATGTTGCCTGGGGCTGATGGGAAGTGAAGTCTTACAGCATTTGAAATAACTTAGCTTGGGGTGCAGGCTCTGCCCCCAATGACTTGCTATTCTTCAAAGAATGAATGGGTGTGTCTACTTCAGGGGACCATGGAGTGAAGCAAGTAATATTTCAGTAAAAATGTTATAGCAATACTGGCTCCACTTTTGCTCCAGAGATATTTGACACCAGCATATAATTATAGGTATAGCAACCATTTCAAGTTAGTTTCCCCAAAAGATGTAGGGTCTTGGAATCTTGGCTCTTCCTTCCTTCGTTTCTTCCTGCTAAAATTGGTGCCTCTTCATCCTAAATTGCCCTTTATAGTTCTCTTTCCTAGTTATAAAACCATTGAAAGCACCTCCCATGTTTAAACAGATGTTTAATATCAAGGTCCATCATCGACTTGAGTGTGGTTTCCAGTCACTAGCGTGCTTCATAGAAAAATGTAGTAGGTACTGGCTGTGTACCCTTGGCAGAAAATAAGACAAAGTAAAAGACGCAAATCTTGAACCAAGAAGGTAAGCCAAATGCCCCTGTGAGAAAAACTGAATTGTATGCAGAGATGGAATAAGGGGACATGATCTTTGAGGCTGAATTATGGCTATGAATTTGGTTTTGCATTGTAAAGATGTACAACAAGATCTGCCTGAAAACCTTGACAGTCATTGCCAGTCAGTGTAGGCCACTGTTCGGGTACCTCCAATCTATTGGCCTAATTTGGTCCACCAAGGGTTCAAATGTGGCCAAGACCATTTTCCTCAAACTGCACACACGTGCCTCATTCCTGACATCATATACAATGTCAGGTCTCTATGTTTGGAGACAGAGGGTGGATCTAGGCACAGGTTAAAAATGCTATAAATAAGTCAGAAATTAAATTGTTACAACGAAAGAAGGGGGGGGAGCCTATCTAAAAATCCATACAAACTCCATTTTGCTCTCTGGCAGCATCTGATGTTGGATATTTATATCGTATTCAACAGGTATTATTGCGACGAATGCAGCTGAGTCAAGAGGTGCATCCACCAATGAGAAACTGGGAGCCATAACGTGTACTCCTTATTGTACATTGGTATGAGAAAGCAAGGGACACTGGTGGTGCTGTGGGTTAAACCACAGAGCCTAGGGCTTGCTGATCAGAAGGTCGGCGGTTCAAATCGCTGTGACAGGGTGAGCTCCCGTTGCTCGGTGCCAGCTCCTGCCAACCTAGCAGTTCGAAAGCACGTCAAAAGTGCAAGTAGATAAATAGGTACTGCTCCGGCGGGATGGTGAACGTTGTTTCTGTGTGCTGCTCTGGTTCGCCAGAAGTGGCTTAGTCATGCTAGCCACATGACCCGGAAACTATACGCCGGCTCCCTCGGCCAATAAAGCGAGATGAACGCCGCAACCCCAGAGTCGGTCATGACTGGACCTAATGGTCA